TGTGTGTGTGTGTGTGTGTGTCTGCGTCTCTATGTGTGTGTCCAAGTGTGCACGACGATGTGGGATTATATGGAAGAGCAAGTGTCTATAAAAGGCCCAGGCAGTCGGTATCATTGTGCCCTGGAAAGCTCTCTGAAAGCCCATTACACTACAGGTTTGTGTAAATTATTGTTTTTCACCATTTCCAGGAAGTTTCCCGTCGCTAGCGAAACAGCAGCACTGACTTGGTTACTCTCTGCTCACAAGCAGGAACATCACATCCTGCTGGAGAGACCAACTAAACCATTGCTTCATTCACTTAATGTAACGTCCTGTCCACACTAATGCAAACTTGTCCCTCTGTGTTTGGGTGTCTCGTCCACACACAAACAGGATTTAAGTCCCTAAGACAGATTTTACAAACGCCTTCCCTTCCGTTTAATCATGTAAAATAGGGCATTTGGGAAGTGATTTCCACACTTTGTGTAATGAACATGTGCCAGAAACAATAATGGTGGCTCAGTACCATTTTTCTACATTTGTTTGGCATCGCTATGTCTAATTGCAACTTCATTTATTATCACTGCAGCACATTACCGGCATTCACCAACCTAACATAATTTCTCTGGTGTATCGTTAATGTAGACTTTATCTCCACCTACTGGCCCAAAATCCATTTTTGTGTTCTAGTCGGTTGAAGATATTTTGTAAAATGAGGGTCGTGTGGAGATTTGTTTTTTAAATACAAGGGAAAATATCAATTTCAAAGAATATGCACATATTGTCGAGGCTTTCAATCTGATTGATTAATCAGAGCACCATATTTAGAGGTGTACTGGGGTGTAGTCAGTGCCCAGAGGAGTGAGACAGATTTTCAGAGCTTAATTTAAGTTACAGTGACAGTTCAGTCATTTTTAATAACACACGTAAATAGTTTTCCTCTCTGTTGTTTTATTTCAGTCACATTCATTCATTATTAACGTCTCACAATGCATTATGAGGGGATTTTGTGTTGTCCCCTCTTTGAGCTTTCATGCCAGTCTCTCTCTGTATCACCCTGAGCTCTATATTTTCCCTCAAGTTGGTTTCTTTTGCAGTTTCTTTTCATTTTGAGTGAAGCCAATTTTTAACCCTCTTGAGATTTCGTTCCCTAAACCCACGCAGTTTGTCTTTAGTCTGTCTTTTAAAAGTTTGTATTACTTTACAAATATACTGTATGCACAGTGATGGTGTTTGAGTCAGGTTTTACAGTTGAGAGCAGATTTCATGTTGATCTGTCACACACACAGCTCGATCAAAAAACGTTAATTGTTTTTTTGGTCAAATTTACGCTGCATGAAGTGCATATAAATATTGGAGATATAGGTTTGATGCATGCTCATGTAGGAGTCTGGCTTTTGTTTTCATTGGTGAAACATGTCATGAGAAATGGGGAATTATCTTACTAGCAAATATGTAGCAGCTTGCAGGCACATTTTTGTTTTCCTGGAACGTACATTAATTTATTGTTCATTAAGGGGTACTGTATGGATTACATCTTGTCTGCTCTACATATGAGGTGCTGTTTTGTTTTAATTAGCCATATTCTGTTTGATAATTTTCTTATTCATGTCATTCTACATTTTGCATTAAACATTAAAAACCCCTACTATGATTGATAGATGTTGAAAACAAGCATTTAAAAATGTATCATTAATGTAAATGGCGTATTTGACGAGGAGTTGCAAAAGTCCTGCATTTGATGAAACCTGTATTTTCGGTGTGCTTCCTGACTCATGCTGATTTCCCTGGACTAAAATGCACACATTTTTGCAGAGGGGTCTGCTCCGTTCACACACGTACGCTCAGATTGGAAGAAACTTCTCCAGAACATAATGTTTTAGTGAGATCAACATTTTGAGACTGTATTAAGCATGAGCCACTCATGCCACAGCTTTGCAACTTTCAACAGATTGTAGACTCAGTTGAAGAGATGCTTTCACACGCCACAAACTGGTGAATGTTGTGAAACCCCTCCTGTGGTAAAAGTTGATTAAGTTAAGTAATTTAGTCACGTTTCCAAAATGAGCTGCTCCATGTAGCAGATGTTTGGGAGAAATGTTCCAACACAAGATAGAGCAGGAGGCCTCAGGGCCAGACTGGAGTGAAATGAGTGAGCAGGTGGACGACTTTATAGCTTAAAGATCTGATATCTGCCTTACTGGTGAAGCTAGTGTGTGTGTGTTTGTTTGTGTGTACAACTATGTTTTTAATGCTTGAGCAGTGAGCCTCTGCAACATGTAGTGTGTATTTAGTGTGTGTTTGTGGTTTCCTTAGTAATCAGCCTGCCGTGCTGAGTTTCCCTGTTAATTCATTCCAGTCAGTGTTTGCTTCTGGCTCTTGAGGAGCACTGTGCAGTGTTGGCAGCGGTGAAGACCTTCTCCTTCAGGTGAAGTGGAGAGCTGCGCTTCTGTTATCAAGCACAACTGAAGTATACAAACACAATTTACTCAAAGAAATACTGTCATGGATAGGTTTTATGTAAAGCTGGTATAAAAATATATGTAATATGTAAAATTATATTTGCAATTACTATGCAATGATATATACAGTTACAGTTAAAGGTAGGGTCGGTAATCTTGGAAAAGATAGCAAGTGATACATCACCCCCCCCTTCATTGAAAAAACATTTTTTTGCTTGAAGACCCTTCAAATGCTGAATTCAACAGAAGTAGCTGCATGAACACTTTCAGGGTTTGGACTCAGTACAGCACAGTGTTGTCTTTTGTTCACTTATTTTTTGATTTGCCTGGTAGGGGGTATTTTCTACTCAGGCACATTTGGTGGATTTTTCAATCAATTCCTGTTTTCATCTTTGTTTTGTGGTTTGGGCATTTTAGAATTGAATTCTTCAAAGCTATTCTGCTCTCTCTTTTGTCTCTCTGTATTCCCCGTTTTTTCTACGGTGAAAATGGACTAACTTCTGGCTATGGTCTCTGTCAGTGTGTCTCCCCTGATTGTGAAGCTTACGCACAGTGATATCACTGGCAGGGTGTGCCAAGGCAGGCAGTTAGTGACAGACAAGTACGCCAGCCAGTCACTTCATTCAGTCAAAATGAAATGACACCAGACACATCATGAGTGTAAAGAACAAATAAGATAAAAGGCCAAATTGATAATTAGCAAAAACCTTTAGTAATGTATGAGTCAAAACTTACAAAAGGCACAATTGCACATCGAATGGCAAATGGGTGTTAATAATCTGTGATAATTAATTAATTTACTATCGATTTCCACCTCAAAACACTGGTTTATGGACAATAACAAACCCTTGTGTTAGACTTCTTTCCCTGTCCATCTGTTTTTTGATATGAGCTCCCTTTTTTGATCTGCTCCTTCTATACTTTTCTCATCTATCCGTCAACCTTTTAGAATGTTTCCTGCTCTCATCCATCGCAAAGTGACACTTTTATCCGCAGAGTTTTGCAAATCCAAAGCTCCTTTTGAATATATACAGTACATACTGTACAGACACGCACGCGCACACACACACACACANCACACACACACACACACACACACACACACACACACACACACACACACACACACACACACACACACAC